TGGGATAACACTAATGTGTTAATGACTATTTCAGTTGCATAGATAGGTTCATAATAAAATAAAATAATACCCAACTAGTCATACCCAATAAAAATTTCAGAAATTTTTAGAAATCAAATAACTTCTTTATGTTAAAAATCTGATTAATTTGCCTCAGTTGGGTTTACCTCTGAAAATCAGTTCTATCATGTGAATCCAAAAAATAAGGGTCTGATTGGGGGGCAGCTGCAGCTTATTAATAAGCTACTGCGCAGCAGCTACCCCAGAAAGTTGTTACACAGCAGTTGTTGCACATAAGTTGGCTGGCTATTTGTTTATTAGTGTTCAAAAACAGCTACAGTACAGCTGTTTCTGAACAAATGACTATTATGCCCGTAGTAATGTTGTTTGCACAGAACTGACATAGCAATATATTTGATACTTTATAAGCAAAAATTCACTTCATAACTGTGCAAAACATAAGATATACACCTCACTTAGCAGTTGAGTATCATCATTACTAAAATAAGAAAATTGACTATTAAAATAATATTTAATAATATGATAATATTATTTTTAAAATGGATACGGCGTATGTCATGAGTCAAGTCATCCTCTAGGGATAGTAGCCATTCCCGATCAGTCTTGCCAATGGATTATGTCTGCCGGTCTGCCCACCGGAAGAAGTCACACTTATCTGTGATTCTCCGCGGGCACATGTAGAACTCTCCCGAAACTATGTGTCTGACGTGACGTCTTTATAGTCCACAGTGACATAGCACTCCTCGAAAGATCCCTGAAATCCTTGAGCTCATATTTCATGAATGTTTCAAAAGACAATTCATTAGTCGTAACAGAAGTATAAATTGATAAAAGTACTTAATTACAATTATGTGCAGGCATGAGGTCTCAGAGGACTCAGTATACCAACCAACTAAGCTGTTACTACAAAAAGACAACAGACCTTATAAAACAAAGATTTTTTGTTGTCTTTAACCAATGTAATATGCTCGTATATATTACATATGCATAACACCAAAAAATGCAATACAGAAGAACCTCAAAAGCCCTAACGCCAAAAAAAAAAGGAAATTGTTTGTCTTCAATAAGATTTCACATGTGACACCAACAAATACCAACAATCAGGTCATCCTGAGGAAACCATAAGGTCTAACGTCTCATCCCCACCAAAAGAAAAACAAAAGAAAGGAAAAAAGAACTTCGGGAGTTACCTCCAGCAGCTTTAAAGAGTTCAAATATAATGACACGCCCTCAAAAACTTTGAGAGTTGCCTCTAGAAATCGGATAGCCTCGTCTATGGAGGTTGCATATGAAGTCCTCGGATCACTCGTACATGAAGCCACCAATTTTGATATTTGGCTTATGTGAAAGCAACTTCCTTTTTTTTCTCCACCCTAGGACGGTTTGACCCGCATGTAGACTTTAGCTCATTTTGGTTTGGGTTTGGGCTTTCACTAGAGCCAGTTACATGCTCGACATCCAAGTCCTCTGGTATGCCTACAAACCCTTGCTCACTTGGGGTCCAAGCATGAGTCTCCGTTGCCACAACCTCACCATAAATACGGTCCAACTTTTCTTTCAAATCAAGATCAATTCCACTGAGTTTAAATTTCTTGGCGGCTAGCACTGCCTGCAATGTACGGGCAAGTTGGTTACTTCATACAATTAAGGAAAATAAAGTAATAAAAATAAAGTTTTTCATTGATAAGTTATTACCTCTAATTTCTTAGTCAAGCTTTCCTCTGAAGCATCAATAATCCATTTGAGCGGATCTCAATCCAGGCCCGTGGATCCCCGTTTTAATTCTTTCCATAATTTCTAGTGTTTTTACTGATCTCACTTGTTCTTAAGTTGAAACCTGTCGTACTATCTTCCTGTCATTTTCTTGAACTTTTACATAATATTTTGTCACCCTTCCTTGTTAAAATAGATAGTGGGTCTATTTCTTAGCTCTACCTCCTTAAGGCAGAGGTCACAAAATATGAGTTTGGCTTCTCCATCCCACATGACTGATAAACCGACTTTTTTAGTCTTAACCATTGTGTTACTAGCACAGAAAAAGCAAAACATTATTATTTAACTGCAATCATAACCCACAGCACAGTAAGACCTACAGCCACCCAAACTACAACCACACCAACACACACATCCCACAATCACCACACCACATGACACAAGCCCCCCAACCCTCAGCACAACCACCACAACCCACAGCACGGCCACCACACCATAGCCACCCAACCACACCTCTACACGCATCCCACAACCAGCACACCACAAGACACAACACCACAACCACCCAACCCACAGCCACCAAATCACAACAATCCAACCACGCCTCCACACACATTCTACGGCACAACACCACAACTCAACCCACATCACATCCACCACAGCCCATAGCGTAGTCATTGGTATTGAGTTCCTTGTATGTAATTTGAAGAATGCATTGCCATCTACAAATCAAGCATCTTATTTCATCTGTTTTTTAAATTTTCACCCAAACATGCAAGGCAGTGATAAAACCTCATCCTATATTTGTCATTTGAGGCAATTATATACGGGGCACCCGAAACATTGTTGTCTACAAATTAAGCACACTCCATCCATTTTTCAAATTCTCGCTCAAACATCAAATCCATAATTTTGAATTGAGGCAATTACATATAGGGCACCCAAATCAATGTTATTTACAAATCAAGCACCCTATTTCATCCATTTTTCGAATTCCAACGCAAACATCAAATGAAGTGTTAAAACGTCATCCCATATTTTTCATTTAAGGCAATTACATACAGGGCACCGAAACAATGCTATGAACAAATTAAGTACCCTATTTCATCCATTTTCAAATTTTCACTCAAATAGCAAAAGAAGTGATAAAACCTCATCTCATATTTTTAATTTGAGGCAATTACAAGTATAGCACCCTAAACAATGCTATGTACAAATGACGCACCCTATATCATCAAATTTTCAAATTCTCACTCAAACATCAAAGGAAGTGATAAAATCTCATCCCATATTTTTCACTTGAGGCAATCATGTACAGGGCACCCGAAACGTTGCTATCTACAAAATAAGCACCCTCTTTCATCAATTTTTCAAATTCTCACTAAAAAAATAAATAAATAAATAAAAACTGTATGTAATTTTGAATATAGGCAATTACAAATAGGGCACTCGAAACAATGTTATTTACAAATCAAGCACCCTATTTCATCCATTTTTCGAATTCCAACGCAAACATCAAATGAAGTGTTAAAACGTCATCCCATATTTTTCATTTAAGGCAATTACATACAGGGCACCGAAACAATGCTATGAACAAATTAAGTACCCTATTTCATCCATTTTCAAATTTTCACTCAAATAGCAAAAGAAGTGATAAAACCTCATCTCATATTTTTAATTTGAGGCAATTACAAGTATAGCACCCTAAACAATGCTATGTACAAATGACGCACCCTATATCATCAAATTTTCAAATTCTCACTCAAACATCAAAGGAAGTGATAAAATCTCATCCCATATTTTTCACTTGAGGCAATCATGTACAGGGCACCCGAAACGTTGCTATCTACAAAATAAGCACCCTCTTTCATCAATTTTTCAAATTCTCACTAAAAAAATAAATAAATAAATAAAAACTGTATGTAATTTTGAATATAGGCAATTACAAATAGGGCACTCGAAACAATGTTATTTACAAATCAAGCACCCTATTTCATCCATTTTTCAAATTCTCACTCAAACATCAAAGGAAGTGATAAAGCCCCATCCCATATTCTTCATTTGAGGCAATTACATACATGGTACCTGAAAAGTTGGCATCTACAAATTAAGCACCCTTTTTCATCCATTTTTTAGATTCTTGCTCAAAAAAAACTATATGTAATTTTAAGGGCACCCGAAGCAATGTTATGTACAAATCAAGCACCCCATTTCAACCATTTTTCAAATTCCCACTCAATAATCAGTGGAGGCGATAAGAGAAGGCCATCCCATATTCAACCGGTTACATACAGGGCAACCGAAACATTGTTGTCAACAAATCAAGCACACACTTTCATCCATTCTCCAAACACCATTCCACATATTTCTTTTCTTTTTTTTTTTTTTGCAAGGCTCAAATCTCAAATCGATAAAACGTAAATCGCAAATGACAAATCATAAAGTTACAAATTGCAAATATCACAAACGTCTCACAACAAATTACAAATAAGGAAGCCAAAAATCACATAAAAAAAACCATTTCATTGAAAATTACCGCAAGAATTACTTACAGACCACAGCAACCAGAGATCGGAGGGAGGAGGAGGTAGAGGAGAAAGGCAACGAGAAACGCGAGAGAGACACGTGAGAGGAAGAGAAGCGCGAAAGAGAGGTACCAGGTTCGCGAGAGCGATCGAGAGCAGCAGGCATCTAAGACATAGATAAGAGAGAGAGGCAGCGGGATAATTGATACGCGAAGGAACGCGGGCCATGTGGTCGAACCTTTGGCTGCGTTTAATAAGAATTTTCATCGGATTATTGGAATACATTGCAACACCGCAAGCGTTTTCAAAACGCACCACACCGAATATACTGCCCCAAACAGCCCTAAGTAATGAAAATCTAGACAACTAGCCATCTCCGGCACATGCTTCCTCTCTCCGTAAGGAAAGACAATTACTTGCCACAATAATATGTAAAATAATGCGAAGAGGAGAGAAAAAATCAGTAATGCTCGCTTAGACCATATGCTGCTAGAGAAGGAAGAAAAACACTCTTGTGAACAAACAAATCCACAGATAAATAAGCAAATAAAGCGCTCCCCTCAACCCACAAACAACCAAATAGATCATCTCATAAAAAAGCAAAATAACCAAATAGATCACCTCCTAACAAAGCAAAATAAAAAAAAACCACAACAAAATCTAAACAGAGAAAAAAGAAAGAAAATAAGAACAACGATAGTCAACCAATTCCCCTTCTGTGAGCCCTAAACCCTCACATACCTTACGGCTGCGAAGCTTAGGGAGGCATCGGAACAGTGCCTGACGCGGATCTCGCGCACCCCGCCTGCACCGAACTCCGACACCGAGCGGAGCATAGCGTCGACCCGGCGCTGGAACGCCGGCGTCCACCAGAACGGCGTATCAGGACGCCCGGCACCGGCTGCATCAAAGGCAGGCTCGAGATCGAAGGAGGAAAAGAGCGTGGGATCCTTAGCCGCCTCAAACCATGAGCGGCACGCCAACATAGCTCCTCGCCATCGATCCTCCAGGCTAAGCCTATGGAAGATGTTCGTTAGACACACTGAGGTCAGCTCCGACCAGTCTCGGATCTCCATTACCACTTCCTTCGGCTCGCTATTAAAGCAATCGGTGGCCACGTTTGATTCATTCTCCATGAATTTAGGGTTGTTTCATTCCCCCCCCGGCCCTGGATCGTATCTTCTGCCGAACCCTCTATGCATTGAGTGCCGTAAACGAGTAAACTGCGATGAGAGCTATTTTTAGGGGCTTCACCGCGAATTGGTACACAATTCTTATTTATTACATATCTATCACATCTAAATTTCATAATTACACACAGCCACAGCCTTTAATATTACATTAAAAAAAATTTATTTTTATTTGTACAAGTGAATTACATATTTTCATATATTTAAAACAACAAAATCAACAAGGAAAATAGAATTAAAAAAAAATAGAGGTCCAAATAAAAATCAACAAAAATAAATTAAAAGAAAATTTTTAATTTTTAAAAATAATAAATAAAATAAACTGAACAAATAAAAGAGAGAAGATAATCAAAGAAAATCACCAATAGATCAATCAGTTGATCCATATTGAATATATAACTTATTGGGATTTCTTAATTTATAAGGATGATACAGAGGGTTGAACTATTCAATGGAGAAAGAAGATAAAAAATATTATAGTTTTGGAATTAAGGGAAAAAGAGGAATGTTAATATATTCTACATATAATAAGATATTAAGAGAATAAAAAAAAAAGGAAAGATTGTTTGAGCCCTATAAGTTGGTGGTTCTCAAGTTTTTTTGGGTTGTTGAGTGAGAAAAATATAGATTTCAAAAAAAATTTGTTTATTTATGATTAAATGTTATGTTATTCTTTATTTTTTATAATATTTTTATCTAATGTTATGCAGAAATTTTATAGGACAAGAAGTTAGAATGAAAATAGTAAAAGTGTTGGAATAGAGCTTATGCTCAAAGTTGTTGAGTCGCAGCTCCAAAATTGAGAGCTATAGCTTCAGAACCCAGCACTGCAACACCCGAATCCATCATCATAGTGTTGTAATGAAAGATCAAAATATAGAGAGCCCAGAGTCTAGGCGTAAGAATCCAGTGTTGCAATGCTAGAATCCAGTGTCACGGTGCCAAAACCTAGAACCATAGTGCCATCATCAAGCGCCTATGCACTCAATTGCAGATTCATAGTGCGATGACACTGACATTAATATTTTTTTATGGAAAAATTCAAATTCTTAGAGCAAAATAGTTGAATGAGCAGGATATACATAAAGGGAGTGTTGGAGTTTGTCAAGGGAAGTTTAAGTAGTCTGCGTCAATGTGTGTAAGTGCCTGGAGTGAGAGTTTGGTATGAGGAATATTTTGTATGAGAGTTTGAATGGTTTTGCTTAAGTTGGTGGGGCAAGAAAAATTCAGTGGATTATCTTAGAGACTACATCAAATTAGTGGGTTTTATTATTTTTATCTTTTTTATCTTTGATTCAATACTTGTAATCATGCTTTCTTCGTATGCAGTGAACATGTTTATTTTATTTTATTATATTCTCATTATAGGTTATGCTCTTTTATTCCTATGGATTCCTATTTATTAAAATCAATGCTTGAATTATGTTTAGCATTTTAAATATTTTTCAAATAATGTTTGTGAAATACCAATTTCATTTATTTATTAGTAGTGAACATGATATTATTTAAAAATTACCATGAATTTGAAGGATTCCCACGTGAAAATTCACAACATCAATTTATGGGAATAGACATATTTTTTCGAAACACCACAATTAATAGGAAAATGAGCATATTTCATTTTTAGAAGATGTGTTTGGTGTCACTTTTAGTTTATTTTAATGCCACTAATTTTTGCATCTCTTTAGGGTTCAACCAGTATATCAGAAGCCACATATGTATAAAATTGGGTATGGCGTTGCTAAATGGTACCATAGGGCTAAGAAATTTTGCTAGAATTGTGGTGCCATTAGGTTGGCACCTAAGCATTAGGCTTTCCATCTTCACAACAGTTTTTAGCCTTCAAGGCTAGTGACCACAGTGCACTCACACAATATCGTAGTGACACACATGGTCAACAAGGTCAACGCCTCCATTTTTAGGGATGTCTCACGATAGACCAAACCATCATTTGGTTGGGTAAAATGGAACTTACACATCTGTCACATTGCAGTGCCACTTTTATAGTGTCACAACGCCACGCTAAACATAAAAGTGCCATTTAACCTATGTCAGACACACTACTATCATTAGATGATCCATGATTGTGCTAGCTAATGTGGCAATGTCACATCAGCTACACTAGAGCACTATGTCATTTTAGTATTGAAGCACTTCACAAAATGACAATGTGTGATTCAATGCATTTTATTAGGGTAGCTAATGATTGGGCAACCCCCTCATAAAAATGGCTGACATGACATTATCATGTTAGTTGCATCACAATGTCATTTACTCATATTCACAGAGCTAGTATCATTTTTATCCTTATAAATAGCGTATTTTTTGATTGCCTTTGGTTTGGTGGATTTGGTATCCAGAGAGCTCCTCGAGCTTTTTTCCTCTAAGAGATGTGAGAGCCCTTTTTCTTGAACCATTTTATCAATGTCACCCTCACCCTTCCTCCTTCTAAATCACTATATTAGAACTATCCACATTGCTTGATGGCTTCACTCTAGAGGAGGCATCAATTCGTGATCAGAGAAACTAGCGAAGCAAGGAAAAGCTATTAGGATGTCATCAAACTTTTACATATGTGAGAATCCCTCAACTTCTCCTTATCTTCCTTTTCTTTAGAGCCACTGGGTTTTTATTAGAAGGCTAAGTCTAGGTTGTGTGCCAGAGAAGATTGCTATTGTAGGAGCTTCCCATATCCCTCCATTTCTTGAGCAATCAAGAGAAAATAATTCCTCTTTTTTAACCCTAGTGTCGTGATGCTACTTTCGTAATCCCAAAGCGTTATACCCTTTTTTTAGCCCAACACTGCAACACTGTATCTTGAGTACTATAGTGTCATGCTTCTCCTTTGAACAACACTACAAAATAACATCCATAATGTTGCAACACCATTTGTCTCAAATTGGCTGGAGTCTATTGGAGTCTGTCACTGAACTGTAAGATATTTTCAAAAGATTGTGATGATGCTGACCCGATTCGCAATTATGCAGTAACTTAGCTTCAAAAAGATAGCCAAAGACTTGACCCAATTTATATTTAGCGGCTAGTGTGCAAAAATCAAAATATTACAAAATTTAGAAAATAATTTGCACATTATGGGTACTATGCAAGTATACGTGTTGTTTCAAGTAATATAGGGCTTTCTTTAAAAACCCCAATATCGATCCCACAGAGAAGAGAGGTAAGAAATCCCTTAAATCCCGAGGTAAGAAATCCCTTAGGCTAATTCTAGTCTACTACTATAAGGTCTTAGTTTAGAATTTTTGAAAAGATTGGTTTTCCTAAATTCAAAAATTTATGCTAAATTTATAATTAACTAAATTAAATAAAAACCAAATATAATGAGACTAGTAAAATTTTTGAAAGTTCTTAAATAATTAAAATCACTTTCCCCTTGCGATGAGATCATAATAAGTGTAGGAATTGAATGATGAAAAAGATAAAATGTTGAATTATGCCAAATAGGAGCATTCTTATTTTAAACTCTCTCTCGGTGCTTGTAAAGAATATTGACTAATCTAGAGTCTCTCACCAGCTTGTGTAAAAGTGCTGAGTAGATTCTTGTCTCTCACTTCCAGATTACCCACTGTGCCCTCTCTATATGACCTACTAGGGACCCTTACGATCAAACTCTAGACCAAATTGATAAAAAAAGATTTGATATGTCACCCTAAAAACATCAATTCTACGTCCATCAAAACTTATTTTCTTATTTATTTGCACTCTCCTCAGGTGATCGTAATGGTTATGCCCAAGATGAAATGTGGTACTCACTAGTTGGTGAAATTATAGACCTCCCGAATCATTATGTTTATCAACAGATTTTAACGATACAAATGATCAGTTTGTAAAGTCAATGAAGAACCAATAAAAATACTATCACAATGTTTTAAAAATAAAAAGAGATCCTTAAATCATTCTCATCCCACAAAATTAATTCCCATATATAAAGAGTAAGAAAATGAACTACTCCTAATTTATGGAGATAAAATAAAAACACAAAATTTGTATTGAAATCTAAGTTTTACAATAAAAACTTAAACACAAATACGAGATACTTATCTTTATGTCTTCTCCCCTAACAAATCCTGAAGTTTTCTTGAAGCCAATCTCTAAACTCTTACACAAAACAAAAACTCTCTCACACACACACACACTAGACTCCAACTAAACTCTCTAAGAAGACCCCAATAAGACTTCTAAAAGGCTCTCTTTTTTGTCCAGAATTTGGCCCTATTAAAAATCATCAAGGGTCACCTCAAGCACCGCTTCAAAATTCGACCAAATTCAATAAATATTCTATAAAGTTGGTTACTGATGCTATAACACCAATTTAGGGCACTATAGCCCCCATTCAGCTCGTCTACTGGTGTTGTGGCACTAAGGGTGACGTTATGGTGCCATACAAAAACATCCATTTTTGCTTCATTTTGTCCTCATTTTTTTCAAATGTCTATTCAATGTACCTGAAATCAAAAACATGTAAAATACCTTCCTTTAAAGTGCAATATCATCAAAAATAGGCATAAAATGAACATGAAATGTACATTAAAACAGATTATTTTTAGGTGGATCAATCCCCCAAACTTAAATGTTGTTTGTCCTCTAGTAACTCCTCCAAACTTAAATGTTGTTTATCCTCAAGTAACTCATTTTTACTATATAAAAATTATAACTTATGGTACTGAGTTTTACTTAAAGATTTTTATAGTTTTTATCTTATAAATGCAATAGTGAAACTTTAGGAAATTTTTCAATAACTCAGATTAAAGCTAAAATGTAAGAATATTTAGAAGTCAAGTTTAAGAGTCTGATTTACTATTCATTTTAAGAATAATTGCAATTTGTCATACTAAGGATGTTTAGAAAAATTACAAGAAAAAAAAATTTCTTGAGAACTCTACTAGTAAAGATGTTAATACTTCAAAAATAAGTCTAGAAATGTAAATAAGTCCATTTCCTTAAGATGATTCAACTGAAACTAATTTTTTGATTAATCATCTCCTCAAGCTTCTCCCCACATATTTT